CCATAGGGTTAACTACTCAAAGTTTTATTGACTGAGTGATCAAATGAAGATGATAATTCTAAGCATTTTAATATACCATAACTTAAAAAGACAAGAACAGAGGCAATTTCATTTTATCCAATAAAACATCCTACTTTCCAAGGATGACAGTCAAAAAGCCAAATTCATTGTGCATCTCTACGACAGAGTAAAAAAGGGAACCTGTATAAAACTTTACAACTCTTTATTATTAGAAACTATAGCTGCATGTGTTTCAAATGTGGCCAAATGATGTTTATGTTGGTTATGGTACATTCAGATAACTTAGAAACACTTTTGCTTGTTTCTTAATTCCTTTGATACCAAGGAAAGTAGACATTCAAATAATCTTTTCTCTTTCCTGTTAAGCAGCAAATGAAGCAAATAATTGGAAGGCTAGTAGCTGTCTAAGGAGATTAAACAATTGCTTAGCTGAGCCTAAAAAGTATAAATTAAGGACATTAAGATTTTGAGTAAATTTTTTCCCACACATTAGTTTCTTTAACTTCACATGATATATTTGTTCTAATTCTCTTAAAGCAGTGATTCCAAAATGCCAGTGTTCTCTTTTCTCAAATACACTGCAGCAATCTAAGAAAAGTCTATAAGCCAATACTCAAATTCGAAGGGAATTTTCTTCATATTTAATATAGACTAAATAGTTTAATTGAAATAATCATCCATTTGCCAGAAAGCTATAGGAATGCTGAGTTCAGTTCACCAACTTCATCCAGCTGTGGGTTTAATAACACAGCAGTGATTTTATCAACTGAATTTAATAATAGGTAACAAGGTTTCTAATAGTTTCTGGCTTAAAAACAAAGCCAGGCTCTCGAGAATTGAATTTGCCATTAATTTTAAAAATCAAATTTTACAGACTTCATCTAATACAGAAATGTAGTGCATAATTAAAGCTACATTTGATTTAAAAGGGGAGGTGCTCTGCATTAGAAAACCTACATAGTTTGTGGGTAGAAGAAATTATTTAGATATATATGCTCAAAATAAAAATACTGGCTAAAGAAATAAGTCTTTAAAAACTGGAAATAACGTGACATAAATTATTAATAATCCCTTGAGGAAAAGTTGGTCTCATAATCAAAGGCATAAATATTAATTATTAGGGAAGAAAATCCATTTTTAAACCATTTTTAATCCGTTTATAAAATCCATTTTGCTGGGGTTACATTCCTAATAATATTGTTTGTTTGTTTGTTTTTTTAAATATTTTTATTTATTTCTAGGAGAGAGAGAGAGAGACAGCGTGAGCAGGGGAGGGTCAGAGAGAGAGGGAGTCACAGACTCTGAAACAGGTTCCAGGCTCCGAACTGGCAGTCAGCACAGAGCCCGATGCGGGGCTCAAACCTAAGAACCACGAGATCATGACGTAAGCGAAAGTCGGACGCTTAACCGACTAAGCCACCCAGGCGCCCCCTAATAATATTGTTTATTTCAATATCATCCAGGTTATATTGATTATATTAAAAGCTCTTGATTCAAGACTGTGATAGCTTGGTGAATGAAAAAGGCCATTTTTATGTAATATAAAATCTTCATTACAGTGATCATCAGATCAGAAATCAACTGATTACTGTAAAAAATGCTGATATCCATGTCTTTAAAGATGTTAATACCTACTGTACTCACCTAGGAAAGCAGCAATCTAAATTTTCTAAGATCATATAGAAAAATGACCGTATTTTAAATTAATACCTTTGTTTCCTTTTATTAATCAGGGATATTCCTAAAAGAGCTCTATCACTTTCATTGTATCTAGAATGCTTTTTCCCTACCATCCTAAGCATTGATATATGAGATCTTCAAAAGAAATATTGTCTTTTGAAGCTATTTTGTATATAAAGATTTTTCATGTAAGGGTTAGGTGTAAAGGACATGGTAGTGGGGAAAAGATAAGGGGTTAGTCTACTCTTTCTGTTCTACAAACCTTATTTTCCTATTCATGTTGACAGAACAGTATGTGGTCATTACTCTTTATTGAGACTTCACCCAAAATATAAAAAAGTTCCTTTCTCTCCTGTGGCAAGATATAGTGTGAGTAAAATTACAATTAAAATAGAGCACTGTAAAAAAGCACCCTAAGATAAAATTATACTTACTTCAGAATATAAAAGAAATTCCTAATAATAAAGAAGCCCAGAGAGAATGTTTGGCAAGGAAAGAGTTAGCCTCAAAATTGTGTAAGAGACAGGAACTGTTTTCCAGACCCTGGCTCATAACACCAAAAATACATTTTCCTCTAGTGATGGCATGAATCTCACAAACTTGGAAAGAATAGTATTAGCAGCAGACTTACTGATCTGATCAAGAAGTCTTTAAGCTAAAGCTCAAGGTGGAAGAGGAAAACTTGAATCAGTAAAATGGATATTATGGAAGACAACAAGTTTGAAATGAAAATAAGACAAAAGGACAAAAATGTCTAGAAACTACTTCTTGAAAGGCATGGCCTGGAATAATACTTACTCCTAGGATATACAGTATACCGAATATAACTAAAATAAAAATTGTAGACACGTTATGGTCATAAATTGCACTTTTTAAAAACTCCTTACACAACTCTGGTGGCTGATGTGAGAACTGCAACAAATGTTTATGTACGGAGTGCCCTGAACAAGGGAACCTGGCCTGCGGGGCAAGTGCAGGATACATTCCATTGCACATCCAATCGCCTGAACGGTATCATTATCTTCAATTTACCAGGTAGGAGTCTAGGCATAGGTATGTTCAGAAACCTGCTCAAGGTTATACAGTAAAAAAATGATGAGGCTAGATTGGCTAGAATTGGAAGCCAGATATTCCTGGAAGGCATAATTAAAAAAATACATAGGAAATTTATACACACATATATGATTTATTCTAAAGTAGCAGAATAGGGGAAATTGTCTAATTTATTCACAAGGAACAACACAATGACTGAGAAATGTGTATCAGTGCATATCAGGAAGTTAGATACTAGTTTTATGATCCAGAAATGTAAAAATAAAGATTTATAGGAGATGCTAATGTAGGAGAGGAAAATCTGAAGAGAAACTGCCATTGAAAAATAGTGTAGCGATCACAGTGAAACATAATAGAGAAGGTAGTTTATTAATAATGAGTATAAGATGTAGACAAGAAGGAAGGACTTCAATTAGCTGGATCCCTCTTAGAAGGAAGTCTCATTCTGCTAACATCAATTTTGGAGGAACAGCTCTAATGGTAACTGCTTTTCTGTTAAATATGACTTAGAGACAAGGGAGCTGCATACACAGTGGAGACAGTGGGAATAGAGGTTCTCAGGGACAGGGGAGTAAAGGAAGGTAATGATGAGCAGAGTTGGGTAAGTTCTGCGGACCCAAAACAGGCAGCCCTTCAGTTTACAGGGAGCAATGGGCCATTACCCAGCTACTGTAAGCAAATATAATTGAAGAAGAAAGTAAGAAACTAATGAAATTCTGACTTTATCATTGCAAATAAAAATATAATCAGGAATAGGGAAAAGACATCTAAAGAAAATAATAAATTTAGAGTAGCAAGTTGGTCCTCAGTTCTTAGATATCTCAAAATACAGATAATGAAAGATGAATGTGAATGACCAAATCAGGTGGTAAGGACATAAAAAAAGAGTTGATATGTCTAATGTCAAGAATGCTCTAAGATGCTTTAAAAATGAAAGATCTAAAAATGTTAGCTTAAGAAAAAGAAAAAGAAGATAAATCCACCAGCTGAGAGAAAAAGAAATGCTAATATTTCTTATTTATATTTTCTTTATTAGGGAAAATTATCATCAAATTAGAATGAGTAGAACAAACAATTTTGATACAGGTTTGAAATTTACCCAGATATCCTTAGGGACTGAAGTAAAAGGAGAATAATAAAGTTTCGCCATCATCCTCTGCTGTCTGCTCTATCAGTGACCTGTGGATACTTAGACAAGAAAGTGGCGATTTTAAAATGCCAGGATGCATTCACTAGAAAAAAGATTCTTTTTTTAGATTAAATTAGACATTAAAGACGTGAATATTCAACCCACAATGTATCTTAATTTGAATGATGCATCTTATAGTCTTCTATTATAACTTTGTGAACAAGGCAGAAAAACAGTGGTTTTAGGATAATACAACTGAGGGGATTACTGATGGCTGATCAATCTTCTCCAGGCAAACTTTGTCCTTTCTATTGTGGAACTCAAAATGCTATCCGTTATTTCATCAAGGAAGTGGAAAACAACACTTTACAAGTCTGTGGATAATGCAAAGTTGTGAGGGTAAGTTAATAGATTATATAGGAATCAAATAACTCTTCAAAAATGTTTTGTTATGTTGAAACAGTTACCCCAGATAATAAGGTATGTAACAGGAATCAATGCAAAGGCCCACATTTAAATTTCAAAAATGTCATTACACAAACAAAGGATAATTGGGTTTAAGGATGGTTCACTTGAAAAGATATATTTTCACATAACCCCAAATCTTCAGTTACTTTGGGAAAAAATCATATTTGATTGTTTCTGCTTATTTTACTAAAATATTTCTATTCTTCCGATATATTAAATTCACTCTTAAGACATCCTCCCTATATACTTTGAATCCTTTAGAGTAAAAATAAGTAAGACTAACTCTTTAGCAAATAAGACAAAGAATTATGCAGTGTAGGAAAGTGTAAGCACATCTTAAATAAGCTTCTTTTATAGCAGTAACAGAATGTAATTACTATAGCATATCTAGTGATGAAGGATTTCATCAGAAGGCTCAAAAGGATGTCACTTTAGAATGTATGCTGTCACAGTAGAAAATGCAAAAGTTAACTCCAAACATTCATATATAATTTCAAACAATTCTCTATAAAGCTCAATTATCTTTCATATGGAAAAAGAGATTCTGGAATTTATGCAAAATGATTAAAAATTTGTAGCAACAAATCATATTAACAAGATCTTCACAGAGAACCACAAAGAGAAAAAAAGACACCGAAAAATTTCTCACCTGCCTAATACCCAACCGGTATGCAACAATCCGATCTACTGCATCAGGATTCATCTGTGTCCACTGTAGACTGTAAGAATAAACACGGTGTCTGTTCTGCCACACAGGATTGTAGGTATCGTAATAGAACTCCGGAGCATAGGCCTTTCCTAAAAATAGAAAGAGTGGGTTTCTCTTAAATTTGAATTTGAATGATGACATATTAAACATGCTTATTCTTTTTGGGCCTTTTTCCACATTCTACCATGTGTCCCATGAGTACTACTTCTACTTGAAAAGTCATATCATTAAAATCTAATCAACTTGCTGGAGAATTTTGAGCAGAGATACAGGAAGATTTCTTGGTTGGTTGGTTAGATGGAGAGTGTGAGAGAAAGAGAAGAATCAAGGACGACTACAAGTTTTTGGTCTAAGAAAGAATGGAGTTGCTGTCAACTGGGATGAAAACCGACGGGAGGATCAAATTTGGGAGAACTTCAGTTAGTTATTTTTGAACAGTTTAAATGATCTAGATGGACTCATCAAGTGGGATATATTAGTCTCAAATTCAGGAAGGGGTGAGGATTAGAGCTATACTCTTGCTAACCATAAGCATATAGATTTTAAATTGAAAGCCATGAGATGGATGAGGTCACCAAGGGGCTATGAGTAGATAGAGAAGAAGACTAAGGGCTGACCCTGGGGCAATCCAGCATTAAGAGAGATGAGAGATAACAGCCTTGACAAAGCCTGAGAAGGAATAAACCAGTCAATGGGAAGAAAATAAAAATTGTGGCATCCAAGAAGTCAAAAGTAGTATATCATCAAGTGAAAGACCAATTCTGTCAAAAAAAATCAGTAAGAATGAAACTTTGTGTTTATATTGTATTTGGTCAATAAATTTGAAATTGCCCAAACAACACAGTGATGTGAGAACTTGTGCCAATAGCAAAGAGGTTTTTATTAGATTTTAAGAATATGTGAAGTGCATATAGTATATATAACATATATATACCATCTCAGGTTTTTTTTTTTCCAATTACCAAGTTGAAAAATGCAAAGGCCACTTGGAATTATAGATCCAATTTCTATAATATTCTGAAATATAGATTTCTTACTTTCCATTTTTTATCTATAATGTATTTATTTATGAAATGAACAGTATCAAAGGAGAGCCTATTAAATGCCATGTAGTATACCAGGCATTGGGGATAAAATAAATGAAGTATGGCCTCTGTCCCCATAAGAAATGCTAACATTTTCTTAGACTTTTCAAACAGCTTTGCAATTCTTACTGAATGATGAGTTAATAAGTTGTACATTTATCATCCCTCATTCAACATCTTTTCTGTTTTTTACTTTTATAAAAATTAAACATTAAATGTCCTCTTGGGTTCTTCCTCCTGTTTTTTGTTTGTGGAAACTTCGGTTACCTCGTTTTTCATATTTCTTCATCACTACTCATCTAATAGTTGCAGAAGAGCTGGCCTATGAAAAATTTCTTTTGTTTTAATGTTTATTTATTTTTCAGAGAGAAAGACAGAGTGTGGGCAGAGGAGGGGCATTGCAAGAGGGAGACAAAGAATCTAAAGCAGGCTCCAGGCTCTGAGCTGTGAGCAACCGACTCTGATGCGGGGCTCAAACTCACAGACTGCGAGATCATAACCTGAGTTGAAGTCAGACGCTTAACTGACTGATCCACCCAGGGTTCTCGGCCCATAAAAATTTCTAACAGATAGGTAAAGGATGGATTTTGCCCATTAAGCACAGATGTGATAGTCTCTATTACCCCAGAGAGGTTCACTGGGAAAACTACTATCAGATGAAGTGAATTAGATTTGTGATAAGTTTGTTAGCTAGATTAAATACATGGAATCAAATATCTGAATTTTAGTAACATTTGGAAGCTTCCCACATTAACATTGTGTGACTGAAAAAAAATTCCATGAATATTCATTCAGTAGAATTGGAAATGGATTAAAAGGAGGTCTCCTGCATAGAAGCAGATCTCTAGAACAGAGCCATCACATTCATTTTAGTGCTTCTTTTATCTTTTTATGGTATTTTTATCTATTACTAAGTGATAGCACAAATCTATTGTTCACAACACTTAAGAACAAAATCTAGGTGAGAGGAAAAGAACACTCTGAAAGAAGAAATCAATACCCAAAATGTCTTTGCCAACTTGCATTTGAGACCAAATTTCTCAAAACGTTATCAAGGATGTGCAGTTAGTAGTAGCTTACGTAAAGAGCTAGGGATTTTGATTAAAAATAAGCATCCAAAATGTATAAATGAAGCAATGAGCTGCTTAATTAAGTAATAGGAACTGGAGTGTTTTCATTACGGGCTAGTGTCTGAATGAATTAAGGAAGTAAGGGTCTCAGTAGGTTTTATTTCGGGGGAGGGTATGCTTTTGTTTTTTAACCAAGAGGAAAATGCAGGGGTATTACATTTAGTACTAAGCATCACTGTTTATAAAATGAATGACACATTCAAATGGGATGAGTACAGAGTAGAGCCACAACCTGTGGCTCTTCAGCATAGAAAAGAACAAAAAAAAAGTCTCAAAACTAGACAAATGCAGTTTTCTAAGAGTTGAAATTCATTAGAGAGAAAGAAGAACAGACAAATCTTAACAGATCTATGAAATAAGATAAATACCAGTGGGTGGCTATTAGAAGGAAACACATTTTGATGTAGCAATGTTCTACCAATCTTTTCAGAATATGGAATGATCTACTTCAGGAGCCTATGATTTTCTCTTTGTTAGAGGTATTTAATCAATACCTACTAGTCATTTAGCAGGGCTGAAATGGGTGAATCTCCACAAGGCGGCCCTCAAAGTACCAAGGAGTCACAGATCTCGCAGGTGCTATGAAACATCTGCCTACTGTTTATTGTATTACTTTAATTGTAGATAGCATACTAGTTTACAGTTTCCATTGCATGTTTCTATTACCCGTAATCAAATCCTATTTTTTGTTGAGTGCCAGGAGGGTAACTGACTGCCTGTCATAAATGCAAATTGTCATAATTCTAGAACTCATTGTTTATCTAAATAAATACTTCTAAGGTTATTGAAGCAGTCTGACTTTGAAATTTAAAAAAATCCTCATGACTCTATGAGTAATATGAATTCACCAAGATCTATTTTCAAGGTCATCTAACACTCCAAATAGATCCAAATTTCAGTGTAAAATTCCATCATCATCATTATATTTAATTGCAGACTATTATGAAGGCTTTCCAGCATATTTTAAAAAATATTTTATTTGCATTGATATATCTGTATTACTGTGAGTAACATAATATGCAGTAATCTTTCATGGACAATCAGATTAGGAAACAATTTAGAGATGATCTGTTCAGGGGCACCTGGGTGGCTCAGTTGGTTAAGCGTCCAACTTTGGCTCAGGTCAGATCTCATGGTTCGTGGGTTTGAGCCCCACATCAGGCTCTGTGTTGACAGCTCAGAGCCTGGAGCCTGTTTCAGATTCTGTGTCTCCCTCTCTGTTTGCCTCTCTCCCACTCATGCTCTGTCTCTCTCTGTCTCAAAAATAAATAAGGTATAAAATTTTTTTAAATTTAGAGATGATGTGTTCCAATACCTCATATGACAATAAAGAAATATAGGAACAAAGTGGAAATGGTGATGATGTATGAAAGCTGATATAAATAAATAATCAAATTAAACAGGCTCCATTACAAATTTTGACTTTGATTCATAAAATTTAAAAAAAAATTGGGAAAGTTTTATTTTAGTTGGAAGTTTTATTTTTTTTAAGCTTTTTTTTTTTAATGTTAGTTGAACTGGACAACCTTAGAATTAAAGATGAAAAAGGTTTTCGGGGTGCCTGGGTGGCTTAGTCAGTTAAGTGTTTGACCTCAGCTCAGGTCAATGATCTTACAGTTCATGAAATTGAGCTCTGCATCGGGCTCTGTGCTGACAGCTCGGAGTCTGGAGCCTGCTTCGGATTCTGTGTCTCCCTCTCTCTCTCACTACCCCTCCCTCGCTCACACTCTGACCTTCTCTCCCTCAAAAATATATGAAGATTAAAAAAAAAGATGAAAAAGTTTTAGATGGTGTATAAGTAATATCGATTATTAATAAATAATTACTGATAAGGAATCTTGACTAGTTATAGTTAAATATAGATATTATTGCTTATGTTTCAGAACATACTCTGTACTAAATCTCTTTGTATAAACTTTAATGAAGAAACATGCTTTCTGATTTCATTTAATAAGTAATTTTTAAAATTAACAAACACATTTCTTCTCTGATTTCAGAACCAATCATATTTAATATTTATATAGTCACTTTTAAAGAAGCTCTACATAATACTAAGGAAATACTCTTAGGCTCTGACAACCAAACATGACATCTGCTGGTTGAACATGGAAAGAATTCGTAACATAGTTTTTTTTCTTTTTTATCCTCTGGGCATTTTTTTCTCCTTCTAGTAAGCATGCCAAAAAAATTTTCTTTCCCTTTTATATTCTAGTTTTATTTTTATGCAATGCTGTCCCAGTTTAAAATTTTAGACTAAATGACCTAGTTCATTATCTAAACTAGCAGATAATTTTTAGATATATTATGTACATGGAGCTCAGATTTTAAAATATTCTTAAAATATACATAGATAAAATGTTTAATTGTTCAAAATTTTAAATAGAATTTATATAAAATTCATTTACTGTATATGGTAAATAACTTGAAAAGTGATTAAATTGATATTTCAAAATATGATTTTATGCATCAGCTCAAAGTTCAAGATCTAACAATAAGCTATAACATGTCACTTTCGTAGTCAAAGAATGTTAGATTAAAGTATAACAAAATTCTTTCTTAGATGCTTCTCTAACTTGCAAGCAAGAAGGAATTATTTCTTGAGGGTCAAAAAACACAGAATTAAAAACCAGATACTGAATAAGAGTTTAGGGAGGAAAAGAGTTTTGTTGGTCATTGTACCCCTGGGAGCTGGTATTTTAGACCCAGAGACAAAGTTAATGGGCCAGTGTAAGATGAGAAGCTAGAAATGAGGCCATATCATATGATCAATATCAGTAAAAACAGTTCTCTCAGACATAGGGTATACTAGAAAAAAGTTTCCCCTCGCCAGCATAGGAAGATGACAAAAATATTTCTATTAACAAAAAATCATCC